ATTCACTTTCACTTAAATACTATTATTCATTAATTCATATGTCCACTCCCAATAAGACATCTTTTCTGGGACGGAGGGAGTATTAAAAACTAATTTTATATTCAATATACTATATCAATTTTTATTTATATTACGTCAAACAACTATTTAAATTAAAATTCAAAATCAAAACCCCAAAACAAACACACCTATTATACTCCGTCACTCTCAAACGAATATATCCCTTGATACGTAAAAGTTAAGATATTTCAGTATTAATGGCTAATTATTTTAACTATAATATGAAAGAAATACTTTTAAATGGTACAAACAAAAATGAAAAAAAAAATGATGTTTTCAATTGGGACAGAGAGAGTATATATTCTGTTTATATATCGAACTAAATCATTCAGGCCTATTAAAATGTTTATGTCATTTAAGCTTAATGGAATATTCTCTCCGTTTTAATTCAAGATATTATTTTTATCATTTTTGTATATTCTATTCAAAAGTTTTTCTTTTTTATTTTAATAAAAGTAATCATACAATAGTATCAAAATATTTTTAACTTTTATGTAAATTACAAATATTTTATTATACATACAATTACTTTATATATATAATTAATGAGTAGAAATGTCGAAATTTTTTAGACACTTCTACTAATCAATATAATACTACTCTCATCCCATCGTCCACCAATAATGTTTACATTTACTTTTGCATGTTAATATTTAAATATTAATTATTATATCAAAACATAGTATAAATTAAAAAAAATGATGAAAATATTTTTATTAGTATTTTATTATACTAATATAATGATATTTATCCAAAATATTGTACAAATATAAAAATATTTTTAATATTAAAAACAATGATGCTATATGCAAATGAAAATATTAGTGATGGACGGAGGTAGTATTATTTATTAATTTAGCACAAACTTAAAAAGAATAGATTGGAGTCGGACAAATAGAGTATTTAGTGTGACTTTTTCATCAGGCCTGATGCTTCGGCCATGGTTCACCAGTGCGCACTTTCGGGTAGCGACTGCAAATTCCCATGTCATAATAAAACAAAAAAAAAAAAGAAAGAGTATAAATTAATTAGTAGCCATAAAAAATATGCTGTTATCTTCCTTTGCCAAGCAGATCATACATGAAGTTTCTTTGGTTTGTTGAAGCGAAGCACCGACAGGCCGCCGTACCTAAACCCACACGGTTCGAAGAAATCAATGTCCGATTATTTACTAGCTACTCTGTTTGTTATATGTGAAAAGTATTAATTATATCTCTTACCTTATACTATTCAACCCCATATATATATATTAAAAATTAATTTTTATTGTTTATGATTTTTTTTTAAAAAAAATATATCAAATTATTCCCTCTGTCTCAAAAGATTTATCTTGTTTTTTCATTTTCGTCTGTTCCAAAACAATTGTCTTGTTTTCTTATTTAATAGCCGTGGTCTCTACTTTATAACAAAATTATTTCTACTTTTCTATACTACCCCTAATTATTACTTAACGTACTCTTTAAAATCCTTCAAAAAGTAATGACATTTTAGTTATTTACATTTTACTTTATACTCACTTTCAATTAAATACTATTATTTCTTAATTCTCATGTCAACTCTCAATAAGACACTTCTTTTGGGACGGAGGGAATATTATTTTTTAATTTTTTTTAATTTTTATATTGTATTAAAAATTAATCATATATTCAAAATATGATACTCCCTCATTTACTTAATTATATTGGTAGTTAAAAGTATTGAAATAACATTTTTGTCTTTACTTTTTGGTGTAAAAAATGATGATGTGATATAAAGTAAAGATATTTGTGGAAAAAAATGAGATATTTAATTAAATGTATATTTTATTATTAGACGTCCAAAATAAAAATATGTATACTTTCTACGAGGACGGATGAAGTATAAAATAATTTTTTTCTTATAAATTCATATAGTCATCCTGTAGGAGGCAAATGATTTCTTATTCTTATTATTATTATTATTAACTCATAGGCTAAACTGATTTTTTTGTCCCGTAATTGGAAATTTTTATCATTGTAGTCTCGTAAGTGAAGTCTATCGCAAACTAGTCTCATAAGTAGAAAATTTTTGTTGTTTAAGTCCTCCGGCGCTGGAGACGCCCGCGTGGCTCGCCGGAGGCCATGTGTCCGCCAGGTCAGCAACACTTGGCGGACACGTGAATTTTATTTTAATTATTTTAATTTTTTTTTAATTGGACCAAATAAAAAATTAAAAAAAGAAAAATAAAATTAAAAATAAATTTTTTAAAAAAATAAAATAAAATTCACGTGTCCGCCAGATGTCGCTGACCTGGCGGACACGTGGCCTCCGGCGAGCTATTCGGGCGTCTAGGCGCCGGAGGACTAAAACAATGAAAAAATTTTCACTTATAAGACTAGTTTGCGACAAACTCCACTTACGAAACTAAAATGACAAAGGAGTCAAGTTAGAGGAAAAAAAAAAAAAAAAACAGTTTACCCTCGTTATTAGGTCATGATAAGATTGTTCATTAACTTCATTTCGACTTTTTCATTCTCGAGGTATGTGATTATTACAATTTTTTTTAAAAAAAATACATTTTTTTTTGTATTCATTATTGATAAATTTTCAAATGCCTCCAATCTTGAATGCTATTTTGGCAATTATGGCGATTTTCCACATTTTAGTTAGCTTATTCGCTCTCTTTATGTCAATTTTCATACATGTATATATAAGGACATTTTAGACTAACTCCAAGTTTGGGACAAGAATGAAGGGTTTTTTTAGTTTGTATTTTTGGATAAACGTATTTTTTTATATTATGTAAGATAAATTTAGCCAGTAATATAAAAAATAATATTTTATATTAAATTATTAATTTTTTTAATGGATGAATAGAGTATATTTATTATTATATATTGTATTAATATAAATTATATCTATTTATAATATTTATGGAAACTCCGGCAATTTAAAAATAAGTCGGGTGAACAAATCTGATAATTTTACTCTATTTTTCTACAAGGAATGAGATTAAATGTTTAAAATTTAAATTCAACACATTTTTTAAGTACTTAAAATTTTTTATTTTTTTATTTATGTAATTAAATAATAGAATAATTTTAACATGGATGCTGAATTGAAAATATCGTATCCTTCTCGTTTTTGAAATGGAATTAAGGTTGTGTTTGGTACAGAGAAATGAGGTAGAGAAATGGAAATGGTATCATTTCTCTTGTTTGTTTGAGTCAGAGAAATGAAGCTTGAGAAATAAATCATTTCTATTTCTCTGTTTTCATTTCTCTCCCGTATGCAGAGAAATTGAGAGAAATGATGTCGCAGTATATGTTTTTTTTTTTTTTAAATTTTTGTTGTACTATTTAATTTTTATAATTTTTTAAAAATTATATTATTTTAATTTTACAAAAAATAAATTTAATTTATTTTAAAGTATTTTGTTTTTATGATATTTTAAGAAATTGTACTAAAATATAATCTTAAAAAACATCGTACATAATTTATAATTTTTTAAAAAAAAATTTACCAAAAATATTTTTCATGAATTCTCATTCGTTAAAACTTTTTTTTATCGGGTTAATCATTTATTTTTGTTTGCTCATTCGTATATCTGCATTTTTTTTAGATTTCTCAAATAAATTTTCTGTTTTATCAAACAAGAGAATTAATTCTCATTCTCTACTCAATTCCATTTCTCTCCAATTCTATTCTTTATTATCATTTCTTTGCAATTCCATTCTCTGTACCAAACGCCCCCTAAATTTTAAAAATTTAAATTTAATCCACATTTTAATTTACTCAATTAAATAATATAATTAACATAATTATTTTTAACACATCAACATGGGTGCTTATTTCTCTATCATTCTCGTTTTTGGAATGGGATTAAATATTGAAAATTTAAATTCAACACTCGTGTTGAATGTTTAAAACTTTTATTTTTTAATATAATAATTAAATAATATAATTAATATATTTATTTTTTTAACAGAATTTAAAATTTTAAAATAGTGTAAATTTATATATGATACCTAATTTTTTAGTTCCACCTAACTTCTGAGCTAATTTTTTTAAAATAACAAATTGACTCCATCAAAAAATAATAATAGAAGTAAAGACGTTGTATATTTGAATAATATAAATATTAAAATACAAATCCAAATAGAGGAAAAATAAATTAGTATTATGATATGCCTAACTTATTAATCTCCACAATATTTATTAAAATCAACCTAAATGTCTTTGACTGGTGACTCAAATGATTGGTGTTCTTTTTTTAGAAAAAAAACGTACTCTTTCCGTGCAATTTCTATTCTCTTAAAATATATTTGCACGATTTTTTAGATGATTGTCTTTTTGTTATGAATTGACAATTTTGTCCTTAATTGTATGATAGTGATTAAAAGTAATAAATGAATGAGGGTAAAAATATAAAATATGTGTTTAAAAAAAAAATAAGACAATAATTGTTGAACGTCCCAAATAAAAAAGTAGAACATTAGTACGTGGACGGAGGGAGTAATATCTGTCCCTAGTGAAGTTTCATTTTGTCAATCAAGTGTGAAAATGTAAACAAAAAATTAAATGTAAAATCCTACCAATCGGTCAACTATACTATACCAATTTAAATATTAGTAACTTATTTTATAAATTTCTTGGATGATGTGATAAAGAAATCTATTTCGGGTGTTTGTTTGTGGGTTTGGATTTTGAGTTGGGATTTGAATAGTAAAAATTTTGAATTTGAATAGTTGTATGATGTGATATAAATAGGTGATGATGTGATGTTTTGAATATAAAATTGATTTTTAGTATAATATAAAAAATAAAAAATAGGTATTTGATTTGATGTTTTTGGGGGAAAAATTTTGGATAAATAGCTAGATTTTGTCCAAATCTCTCAACCGAACACACCCTTCAAATAATTCAAAAATATTACTTCTATATTTTCTTTCTGCATCCACAACCTTATATAAACCAACATTAAAATGTTCTTCAGTCATCGAAGCAACATTTCGGTCAGCTTCCACAACCTGCCCGGCACTTGCTTCTTGTTCTATCTTTCCTTCTTTAATGGCTCCGAACTTCGTCCTCTTCCCCTACATGGCACAAGGCCACACAATTCCCATGGTCGACATCGGGCGGCTGCTCGCTGCCCGCGGCGTCACGGTCACCATCATCTCAACTCCGGTCAACAGCCGGAGAATCAGTCCGGTGATTGACCGAGCCGCCGCCTCAGGGCTGCCCATTCGAGTCGCCATTGTCGAGTACCCTTCCACAAAAGTCGGGCTGCCCGAAGGCTGCGAGAATTACGACATGCTCCCGGAGGCCAGCGACGTCATCAGGTTCTTACACGGCACGACTTTAATGAAAGACGACGTCCGGAACCTTCTGAAGGAGCTCCGCCCCGCGTGTCTGATTTCCGACATGCTTCTTTCCTGGACCGCCGAGATGGCCCTCGATTTGGGCATTCCCCGGCTTATATTCCATGGGACGTCATGCTTCGCTCACGTGATGTGGAATGTTCTCGAAACTTCTAAAGCCGTCGAGGCCGTGGCGTCGAATACCGAATACTTTATAATGCCGGAGCTTCCGGATAATGTTCCGATCACAAAAGCTCAAATCCGCGGCACGCCCGGCGAACTCCCGCCGGATTGGGACAAGCTGCAGCGAGAATTTTTCGACGCGGAGAAGAAATCATTCGGGACGGTGGCGAACACGTTCGAAGAGCTCGAGCTTAAATACGTCGAACACTACTTGAAGACGTCGGCGAAAAGAGTGTGGTGCATTGGCCCTGTTTCGCTCTGCAACGACGACGAGCTCGACAAAGCAGAGAGGGGCAATAAGGCGGTGATCGACGAGCACGAATGCCTAAAATGGCTCGATTCGCAAGACCGCGATTCGGTAATCTTTGTCTGCCTCGGAACCTTGTCGCGGGTGGCTTCGAGCCAGCTGATCGAGCTAGGGCTAGCCCTGGAGTCGTCGGGACGTCCGTTCATATGGGTAGTGAAAAGCGCGAGCGATGAATTTAAATCGTGGTTGAGTGAAGAAAATTTCGAGGGAAGGGTTAAAGGGCGGGGACTCGTGATCCGAGGATGGGCCCCGCAGTTGCTGATATTGTCACATGCTTCGGTCGGAGGTTTTCTGACGCACTGCGGATGGAACTCGACGTTGGAGGGGATCTCGGCGGGATTGCCGATGGCGACGTGGCCGGTGTTTGCGGAGCAATTTATAAATGAGAAGTTTGTGGTGTACGTGGCGAAGACGGGGGTGAGAGTCGGCGTGGAAATGCCGGTGATGGCCGGGGAGGAGGAGGCGGCGGGAGTGCAGGTGAAGATGGAGGAGATAAAAATGGCGATCGATGAGATGATGGACGGTGGAGATGAAGGGAAGGAGAGGCGGGAGAGGGCGAGGAAGCTCGGGGAAATGGCGAAAATGGCCATGGCGGGGGGAGGGTCTTCGTACGCCAACATGACGAGGCTAATTCGAGAAGTGCAGGAAGTTGAAGAGTGATGGGAAGTATTTCGCATTGAAAACATATTCATTGGAATAAAATTAGTTTCGAATAAAGAGATTTACTTGGATTATAAAGAAATAATTATTTACTATAATACAAATGTGTTTATAATTTAATTTTTATGTATTTTTTTCAATAAAAGTAAAATTCAAAGATATGGAAATATCCTTATTTGATTAATTAGTGCTGAGATTAGGAATCTCTGAAAGTAAAACTGGAAATTTTAAAACTACAGACCGAAAATTTAAAGTGGTGATCCCCACTTTGCTTTTGTTAAAGTTGATTGAAGATAATTGAAGAAGAAAAATCTAAATTCTTAAATATTTCCTGAAAAGACGTTTCAGAACCGTCGCCTGGTCGGTTACAGCAACCGCCCACTAATCCCTCATTCAATGACACGTGTCTTCACCCATTTGGCCAACCGCATACCCAGCCGACCAAACCATCCGACTTATTGATCCGACCTGCTGACTATCCGACCTGCGGACCTTCCGACCTGCGGACCGTCCGACCTGAAGACCGTCCGACTCGCAGACTATCCGACCTGCGTACCGTCTGACTCGCTGACTATCCGACCTGCGGACCAACCGACCAGACCAACCGACCGCATACCTTCCGACCTGTCGATCCGACCGAGGACCAACCGACCAGACCAACCGACTGAGGACCAATCGACCTGACCAACCGATCTGAGCGCAAATTTTTTCCTTTTCCACCCGACTTCGTGTCTAACTTCCTTTAAGATTCTGCTATCCTTATTATTATTATTATTATTATTATTATTATTATTATTATTTTTTGTGCGTAACATTAATATTTTAAATGAATAAATATTATTATACAAAATAAATATTTTTGTATATCGGGTGAGTGTTGGGTTTGGGTTCATTGGAGGCTATGGATCATTTGAGTGCAGGGTTTTGAGAGAGACAATCGTTATCTACGCACAAGAGAGAATTTCTTCAATTCGGTACCGATCAACGGTCTCGTCATCTTCGGATGTTCATTTGGTATCGTTGCTTTCTCCTTATTTGTTTGGATTCGATTTTGAATCTTATTAGTTAGGAATTGGAATGAGTTGTTAGTAGTTGAGGTTCAATTCTTGTATTTGGATGTGGAGTTTCATAGTTTTTTTTGTTGTAGTTATCTTTGATTGTACGAACCTTTTTTGATATAGTGGATTTTGCTTTGGGTCGGGTGATAGGCCTCGTGGTTTTTATCCTTCACTTTGAAGGAGTTTTCCAAGTTAAAAGTTTTGGTGTCTCATATTGTTATTTACGTTGTTTATTGGTGGTTATCATTCGTCTTCTTTTGGTAGAAAAAATAATTGATTTAAGGCAAAGGTTTTGGTGGAACAGTTTGAACACACTGCTTAGGCGTGACCACGCTTAAGGAGTATATCGAATTTGATTTTTGTTTGTTTGGATTTTGGCATTTTTCCGATATTCTCTCAACAGTGAGTAAATGAACTTGTTCTTATGTATCATATGCAAATTTCTAACTAAAAGAGCCTTTTATTTAGGAGTGTTTTTGTAAATATTTATAAACTTGCTTGTGTGAAATAATAAGATATTTTTATAGTTAATTTTAACCTTAACACTGTATTGCGGAGGCTAAAGTAGAAAGTAACGACCTCATGATGTAGTGTGGCGGTAGCATTTCCAGTATTATACCAAATAAATTATATTTTCAAAACTATTTGAATAAATATATGAATGAAATAAATTCTGATAATTATGGTCGAAGGTTACCAAATATTAAAGACGTCGGTTACGGTAAATTAACACCGACATTAATAACAAATTTAATGACAAATTCATTTGAATGACTATAAAAAGGCTTTCCGTGCACTCATTTTAAACACACAACAAGCATTTATCCTCTTTATATTTCTTTACTATTTTTTCTTTTGGCAATATATCCAGCGAAACTCAGGTCGATATTTCGGCAACTCTTTTTTATTCCAATATTACTTCGTAGTTTTTTTTTTTAGTTTGTCGGAGTTCTGAAATATTGGAATGCTATATAATTCGGAGACGAAAAGTCATTTGATCTTTGAGATAATTCTGCCATAAGCTGGAGACACTAGCGGAGCATATTTGTTATATGCGTTTGATGGTGTTGGATTAATATAACGGTATTGCTATTTTTTTATTAATAATAATTATATACTTTAAAAATTCCATTTTATATAGGATGTATATCATCATTGATTTTTATTTTCAATACTTTTGGCAATTATAGTATTTTGTATTATCAATAATAGATTTGTTTGATTTCGTAATTACTTCCAGTATGAACACGTATTTTTTTCTTCATATATATATTTTATAGACTTCAACTTGATATCAATTTAAATATTTTCTCTCCAAATATATTATTTGTGACCGTAGTTATATTTGAGTAATCACAATTCAAAAAGTCACAACCTTAAACTCTTATATTTGCAAATTATGATTTTCTCATTATTTTTTGACTTCACCTTAGAGGTAGACAATTATAAAAGTATTTTCTACCAACCATTCATATATATATATATAATATATATAGATTTATTTATGTTTTATGAATTATATACTATAAGAATAAATTTATTCATATTTTCTTTTTATATAATTTTTATTTTTACTTTTGATTAATTTTTATTTTAAATATGATTATATTTAATTTTATTTATTGGAATATATGAATTTTATATATTTTGATTGGTTAAAAAAATTATTATAAAGATAAAATATAAAAATATCTTAACACAATTTTGTTACTTTCATCGTATGAAAGTGAAATTTTTTATTTAAAAATATGTAGCTCATTAGATAAATATTTATGTCAATGATGAAGATATTATTATTTCAAGTACGTTTATACCACTAATTATATAAAAAAGAATGAAGGAAATAAATTATATAAACGGAAGTAGCCTTTAATAGAATATTTTTATGTGTTTGTATGGGGATTGGATTTTAAATACACTATTCATCTCATTTTTTTTTCTCAAAAATATCAAATCAAACCCCTATTTTTTATTTTTTATATTACACTAAAAATCAATTTTACATTCAAAACATCGCAGCAACACTTATTTATATAACATATACAACATTTCAAAATCAAAATATTTACTATTCAAATTTCAACTCAAAATCCAAACCTCAAAGCAAACATACCCTGTACCACTAACTATTTGATCATGGCCACAACACAAAAATAAGTGTTGTTAAATATAGACATCTATTAAATATTACTCTCTTCGTCCCAAAAGATTTATCTGGTTTTTTCATTTTCGTCCATTCCAAAATAATTGTCTTATTTCCTTATTTAGTAGCCGTGGTCCTCACTTTATAACAAAATTATTCTTACTTTTCCATACCCCTAATTATTACTCTAACATACTCTTTAAAATCCTTAAAAAAGTAAAGACATTTTAGTCATTTATATTCTACTTTATACCCATTTTCAATTAAATACTATTATTCCTTAATTCTAGTGCCAACTTCTTTCCGGACAGAGGGAGTATTATTTTATTACACACTGATTATTAGTTAGTAAGAACATTTAAGAAATTAAATAAAATGTGTTTATATATTCTACTATTAATCCCTTCTAATGTACAGATAAAAAATTTATATATTATATAATCAATTTTGTATTAATGATTGATTGATCCGAAAAATTTTGTATTTTTTAATATTTTTCGTTGTAACAGATTATTTATATGATACTCTCTCCCCGTCCGCTTACAAAGTTTACATGTTTCTATTTTGGTACGTCCAATTACAAAGTTTACATTTCATTAAATACTCTACTTTTTTCCACAAATACTTTTACTTTACATCACATCATTACTTTTACACAAAAAAAAGGCAAAAATGTCATTACACTACTTTTAACTACTCACTATAATTAAAATACTATTATTTCTTAAACACCGCGCCAAAAGTAAATGTAACCTTTGTAAATAGATAAATGGACAAAAGGAGTATAATTTTAATAATTGAGTTATTTTTAATCTACTACAAAATCTTAATCTACTACAAAATTTCAAAAAACTTATATTAAAAAGGACCGATGAAGTATAAGTAAATAGGTCAATTTTTAAGTTAGTCGGTAGAGTTTGAACATATTAATTTCGTGTCGAAACTTCTAATCCATTTAGAAATAATGTGTTTGTTTTAGGAGTTTGAATTTTGAATTGAGATTTGAATAGTAAAAATTTTGAATTCGAATAGCTGTATGATGTGATATAAACAGGCGTTGATGTGATATTTTGAATGTAAAATTGATTTTTAGAATGTAAAATTAATTTTTAGTATAATATAAAAAATAAAAAATAGGTGTTTGATTTGATGTTTTTGTTGGAAAAAATTGGATAAATAGTGTAAATCCAATCCAATCCCCCAAACAAACACGTGAGCATATCAATTTCGGGTTACTCGAATTTGTATCGAATCTTCTAACTTGCTTAAATATATTAGTCAATTTCAAGTTAAACGATTTCACCAGTGTTATCGGCTCTAGTTTGAGATTGAATTTTTCAATAATTCTACTATTTATCCAAAATTTTTCCCCCAAAAACATCAAATCAAACACCTATTTTTCATTTTTTATATTATACTAAAAATCAATTTTACATTCAAAACATCACATCAACACCTATTTATATCACATCATACAACTATTCAAATTCAAATTTTTTGCTATTCAAATCCTAACTCAAAATCCAATCCCCCAAACAAACACACCCTAAGTAAACAAACACACCCTAAGTGTAAAGCTAGAAATATATTAAGGGAAAGATGAGTAAAAACAAAAACAACTATTACCTATTCAATTGAACAGTATAAATTTAGAAATAGATTAAAGAAAAATATAACAATCCTAAAACCATTTAAAATTATTGTTGTCCTGTCAAGTAGGCAAGAACAATGCGAAATTTTGCCCAGCCATGTGTATATAGATATCAATGTATATTCAATATCTGATCATAAATACAAATACCTGTTTCAATGGGCTGGACTGGACTATACATGGTAGAATAATAAAGCAATTAGTTTTGTGGAAATCAAGAATTATAAGTTAATAAGATAAGATGCAAAAAAAAATAAAATAAAATAAAATTCAGAATGTACCTAAGAATGATCACCAATCAATTCCCAAACCTCTGCTCATGTATAGCTTATCAATGTATGCAACCACAGGTCCTGTCGACGACACATAGTTCTGCATCTGAGTTCTCGCCGATGCTTCTGTATACAACACCAACACAAGATACCATTAGCATTCAAAATTCTGGTTTTACCTACAATGTTATCCTTTTAACTAACGGGGCATTGCCCTTATGATTTTCACCAGACAGGAATCATTTAAACAGTCATTCAGCAGTTAAGATTCAGATACTAAATCAGAAGTGCAGTCTGCGAGATTGAGCAATTATTTGAATTAAATGTAATGAAACTGTATAAGTCGCGAGCAGAAATGTAAAACTCACCATCTTCATTCAGTTTACTCAGCAACTGTGCTTTAGTGGGGAGGGTGTACATCCCAGCACCTACAGCTTTTCGAATGGCCCACCCATGGTATGGAGCAAACACCTGTGCATAAGCCTTCGAAGCAGCATCCTTCAGGGAATTTCCCCTGTTGAAAACAATGGTGCAAGTCTGATGTTCATTGGCATCCAGGTATATTTAAGCTTAAATATAGTAGTGATGCAATGTTAAATTTCCGACACAGTAGAAATGCAACTATGGATCTAAGAACCACGAAGTACACTTAACCAAGGTTTGCATTACTTATGGCAGTTGTACTGCATTTCTTACTGTCAAGGTTCAAGAACAGAATTCATTAAATTTTCTTTCTAAAGGTCTATATGTTAGTCCTTCGAGCCAAACTATTATTGTGCAATAGATGCATAATGACAAAACAACAGAAAATTCAAAGGAATATTTGAGAATGTTATCAATTGCTCCATTAATAGATGTCAATTTCGGAAACTCGTAAAACAGTGGTTAAACCCTAAATGCTATAGTGGGATAGAGGATAGCCGGATGACTATTTCTTGACAATTTGAAAATATGCATATAAAAGACATTATAATTGCAAAGTTACAACCAAAATGCTTGTGAAAATTTCATAATTGTCATTCCAAAAAACGCAAAGTCTTATGCCAAACAAACAAGATATAAGTTAAACAATCATTGAAAGTCATATAAGTAAACATGATCAGATCACAACTACTTTGATAAACACATAATCAAAGTTAATAAGTTTTAAATTTAAAAGATAACTTTTTCACTATCCTGTATATATATCCATTCTAACCTGCACTACCCTTCCCCAATAAGCAACTATTGCTGCACATAAACGCACCACAATGGGGCGGTCATGTGGCAGACAGCTGGGTGGAGCCATATCAGCAGTGTCGCCTGCTATTGACTACTATGGCTCCAATAAGTAACTATGAAGTTCAAATGATGAAAAAAGTGGACTTACTCTGAAGAAATCATATGCTGAAACAAAACTTTGATCATATCAACCCCGCGCTTCACTCTCAAAAGATTCCTTGTATGGCTCCCGGCCTTTCGCACGCAATTGGCTTCAATGTCACCATCCATCATCACTGGCAGTGTCAATATTGAGCTTGATGCCTGCATAAGATCGTCGACCTGATACACACAGTGACAGAAAGGCCAAGAAATGAGACAACCAAATTGCAAATTAATATCTCATCTAAACACAGCAATCAGCCCCAGCTGAGTGTGACATTTCACTTGTACGTATAGAGGGTTCCGAGCAAAATTACCAAGCCTATACAGAAATATCGAAGCCAAGAAAAAAATAGAAAACTTCATTTGAAAATTTATTATGCCTGCCTAGTTTGGCATTATACTGTGATTAAGTTACCATCGAATCTGCTCTACCTTTCTTCCAAAAAGAGAAGTAGATGCTTTCTGTTGCGTGCTAAATAAGCTGCAAAGCATAAGAATAAATCCGCCATAGAAGAGAGAGACTGACCACATAAGAGAAATGCAAAGGAATATATTCAGTGTAGATTTTCCACCAGATTGATTTCAGAATGGATTCGTATACATTCATGAAACCATAACAACTACATGAATTTATGCACTTCATCAATCTCCGCAAATTCACGAATCGGAAAATTTTAATACGATTTCGGCGCAAATCAAACATACACAATTGAAAGGGAAATGAAATTGAAAAAATAATAATAATAACAATTTTTATCACATTAGGGATTACAAGAATCAAGTACGATTGGCATCATATGAACTTCGAACCAGCAATCAAATTTCGAAATCAGAAAGCATGAATAGATTTCTTTCCACGCAGCGCAATAACTAATCTCAGTGACTTCTAATTCAGACTTAAAAAAGGAAAAGAAGAAGAAGAACTTTACTTTGGCGACGTAATCAAGCTCGGCGAACTTGAAAGCAATGCCAAGGCAACGGAAGAGAGGGGAGACGAGGGAGCAGGCATGAGAGAACTGGCGAAGTTGGAGCGCGGCTTCCTCCCCTTCGGGACACTGATTTATAGCGTTGGCTAACTCTCTGAAGGCCTCCGCCATTCTCTTCAGAGCCTTTTCTTCCTCCATTGAATGATCGGACAGGAGCAAAAGCAACAAAACGAGAACAAGGGAGCGTTGAACTTGCTTTCGCCCCCTTACCCTTCTCACAGATTGAGGTTTCGCCATATCTAAGGTTCTTCCTTTCTTTATTCTAACACTGCCTTACAGTGGATCAGAGGTACGATTGGGCCCAACAAAGGACTGCCAATCGGCCCAAATAAATGAAAGCCCACTAATGACATTGTGGGTATAAAAGTGTCAGTTTTATCATTTTACCATAAAAAATATATTCATACTATATTTTAATAATAGTATGTTATAAGCATAACTATATTACGTAGCATCCACGCAGTACCTATCAAAATATTATGTAGGCATGTTGTGGATATTTTTCATTGGTCTATGAAATATATATGTATGTGTACCAAGTCTTGATGAAAATACACACAAGCATTTATTGCATTGCTATCTCGTCTTTCTCTGTAATTATATATCATACATTCGTGTGTGTATATATAAGATTTATACACACAACACGTCCACTTGTACATACATAAATATATATATTCATACTTACAAACTTACTTATATACTTATTATATATTATAATATATTTATTATATAACACATTATCAGCACGAAAGCTCTTGTCTATTTTATTTTTGGTCAAATGGATGTCAATCAAAATGATGCAAATATGTGTTTCATTGACAGTGCAACGACAAATACTATATTGAAACACGAAAAATATTTCTCTCATTTGAGAATTGAAAGAATGAATGTCAATAGTGCAAAATTAAATGACAGCTCTGGAGAAGCCATTATATTGATTCCCGCGGGGACAAAAATTGTGATACAGTATGCACTGTTGGCCACTAAAGCTCAAAGAAATCTACTAAGCTTTCATGACATTAGAAAAAATGGTTATCACATTGAAACTATGAGTTATACCGATGGTGAATTTTTATTGATTATCAATATCATTGATAAAGGAAATGCATCATCTAGATTACCCTTACTCTCTACTGACTTATATTATGCCAGATTAGGTGTTGTTGAAACACTCCTCACGGTAGATCAAAAGATTACCGATTTTCAAATATGGCATGATCGCCTTGGCATCCTGGCAGTATAATGATGAGACGAATAATTGAGAATTCACATGGCCATTCATTAAAAGCTCAAAAAGTGTTAAACTCAAATGAGTTAATCTGCGTTGCTTGCACTCAGGGAAAATTGATAATTAGGCCATCGCCAGCTAAATTAGGTATTGAATCACCTATATTTTTTGGAAAGAATACACAGAGATATATGTGGACCAATAGACCCACCATGTGGGCCATTTAAATATTTTATGATGCTTATTGATGCATCTAACAGATGGTCTCATGTCCGTTTATTATCTATTTACAATATGACATTTGTGAGATTGCTTTACCTAATTATTAAATTACGGGCACAATTCCCCGATAATCCAATTAAGATTATACGTCTAAATAATATTGGTGAATATTCATCGAATGCATTTGATGATTATTGCATGTCGATTGGAATTAATGTAGAGCACCTAGTTGCTCATATTCATACACAAAATGGCTTGGCGGAATCACTTATTAAAAGATTGCAATTGATTTCTAGACCATTACTGATGAGGTCTATGTTGTCCGTTTCAACTTGGGGGCATGCAATCTTACATGCAAGAACACTTATAAGAATGAGACCGATGAGCTATCATAACTATTCTTCTATGCAACTAATATTTGGTCACGAACAAAATATATCTCATCTACGTATTTTTGGGTGTGCTGTTTATGTTCCTATTTAACCCTCCAAACGTACAAAAATCGGTCCTCAATGTAGATTGAGCATTTATGTCGGATATGAATCGCCGTCAATTATAAAATATCTTGAACCTATGGCGGGTGATTTATTCACTGCAAGATTTGCAGATTGTCATTCTGATGAATCATATTTTCTGACATTAAGGGGAGACATAAATGAACCAAAAAGGGATATTAATTGGAAAATTTCGTTGAATTTTTCTGAACATCGTACAAAGCAGTGTGAACTAGAAGTTCAATGCATTATACATTTGTCAAATATTGCAAATTAGTTACCGGATGCATTCAATGACTCGAGTAAAGTCACTCGATCTTATATTCAAGCTGCTAATGCTCTGGGTAAAATAATTGTCCCTGATGGAGAAATTTAAAGTGCTAATGAATCAGCGACACACTTGAAGCGTGGTAGACCACTTGGTTCCAAAGACAAACATCCTCGAAAGAAAAGAGGAATGAATAATGATAATCATGAAAATATCATGAATGACATTGATAAACCTCAATGTAATGAGAAAGTCAAGCCTGAAATAATTGCTCTAGAAGAACATGATCTTGAAGAATATGATGAGATTATCGAAAACTCAATCAACTATGTTACTTCAATAAAATGTTGGAACCGTAAAGAGGCAATTATTGATAATGCCTTCGCATATAGTTTAGCACTTGATATAATAAAAGAAAATGAGGATCCAACGCCAATATCGATTCATGAATGTTGGCAAAGAAATGAGTGGCCAAAATGGGAAAATGCGATTCAATCAGAGCTTGACTTATTAAACAAAAGAGAGGTCTTTAGACCAATTGTTCAAACACCAGATGACATAAAACCAGTTGAATACAAATAGATGTTTGTACAAAAAAGAAATTAGTATAATGAAATTGTGAGATATAAAGTCCGTCTTGTAGCTCAGGGATTCTCGCAAAGACCTGAAGTAGATTTTGATGAAACATACTTTCCAGTTGTCGATGGACTAACATTTAGATACCTTGTGAGCCTAGTAGTGCGAGAAAAACTCGATATGCGTCTTTTAGACATAGTTACTGCATATCTTTATGGCTTATTAGATACTGATATTGATATGAAAGTTCCTGAGATATTCAATATGTCTAAAACATACAAATTAAACCCAAATGAATCATATTCCATCAAATTGAATAAGTTATTATATGGACTTAAACAATCAGGGCGAATGGGGTATAACTGTCTCAGTGACTGTTTAATAAAAGAAGGTTATACTAATGATCCAATATGCCCATACGTCTTTATCAAAAAAATGGATCAAATTTTGTCATTATTGCAATATATATTGATGATATCAATTTAATTGGAACTCTAGAAGAGATCCAAATTGTAGTTGAATATTCAAAGAAAGAATTTGAGATCAAAGATTTTGAAAAAACAAAATATTGTCTGGAATTACAAGTGGATCATGTGAATAACGAAATATTTATCCATCAACCCACATATACTCAAAAGGTATTAAAACAATTTTATATGGATAAATCGCACTCTCTGAGTACACCAATGGTAGTCAGATCCCTTGGTCCCAATAAAGATCCATTTAAGCCAAGAGAAGAAAATGAAAAAATACTTGACCCTGAGGTACCATATCTTAGCGTCATTGGCGCATTAATATACCTTGCAAATTTTACCAGGCCAGATATATCTTTCTCAACAAATTTACTGGCCAAGTTTAGCGCATCCCTCACAAAGCGTCATTAGAATGGTATCAAACACATTTTTCGTTACCTTCAGGGTACTCATGACTTCGGTCTATTTTACTCAAGTGAATCTCGAAATGAATTAATTAGTTATGCTGATGCTGATTATCTGTCTGATCCACACAAAGCAAAATCTCAAATTGGCTATTTATTTACTTGTGTTGAAACCGCAATCTCTTGGAGATCCGCTAAATAGAAGATAACAGCTACATCTTCAAACCATGCTGAGGTTTTAGCAATTCACGAAGCCAGTCGTGAATGCGTTTGGTTGAGGTCTATGACTCACCATATTCAGAAAAATTGTGGCCTGATTTCTGATTATATATTACCTCCTATAATATTGTTTGAAGATAATGCAGCTTGTATAGCTCAATTAAAGAGATGATATCTCCAAGGAGATCAGACAAAACACATATCTCTGAAGTTCTTTTTCACTCATGATCTTCAGAAAAATGGTGAAATTATTGTGCAACAAATTCGATCGTCTAAAAATTTTATAAATTTATTTACGAAGGCGCTACTGATTGCAACATTTAAGAAATTGGTGCAAGAAATTGGAATGCGTCGGATGAAAGACATCAAATAAAATCCAAAATAGGGGGAGCGCATTAATACAATAATAATGTACTTTTTTTCCTTCACTATGATTTTTTTCCACAGAGTAAATTTTAATGAGGCACATTCTTTGTATAAAAATATCCAAGGGGGAGTGTTATAAACATAAGTGTAGTACGTAGCATGCACGCAGTACCTATGAAAGCATTATGTAGGCATGTTATGGATATTTTTCATTGGTCCATGTTGTGGACACATACTTATAGAGAGATGGATGAATGGATAGACCCCAGAAAAGGAAAAAATATTACTAACATATCTTATTGAGTCTCAACCTAATATATTGGAGAAGAAGACTGATAACTGTAAAAATATTTTGTTATTGTATATTAATTTGCAGGGAATTTTCTTTTTTTTTTGAAAATCAATGAGTAGAGTTTTTATAGAAGAATGGTCAGATATAGCAATTATGTGGTTGTAGACCCTGGATAGTTATCACAATTATTTATACTCTTTTTACTGGTGAGTTTCCAGGTCGAACACAGGGATTTAAAGTCATGAATTTCAAAGGTAAAAATCTTGGAGAAGCGACGAAGAGACAAAAAGGGATCCGCTTGGAGCGGGCCTAAATTTTCTACTACTGAAAGCGGTAAATAAAGCAGTAAAAGATGAACGGAGGCGAGCGAAGCGAAAGCGATAGGATTGGGATGTGAGTGAGCGGCATATTATATGTATATGTATATGAGCGAATTAGAGTGGAAAAGAGGTGTTGTGTCTGAACTGTGCGTTATGAAATGGGTAGAATTCCCTGGATGCAGCGAGCGAGTGACGTAATTGTGTTATCGGAAGTATATATGTATATTACGAAAATGATGATAGAAAGATGTTGTAATTATATAAACTCGATTATAGAGAACTCATCACACTGGTATTTTGGCCTGGGGGGGATTTACAACAAGACTTCAATGACACCCAGAATTAAGACATTATAAGAAAGAAACCCTACTGTCACTAGGAATTTCT